CAGGTCCTTCCTTTTGGAATCTGTGCAAATGAGTGGTTAAAATCCATGTATGAGCTTTTGTTGCCAGAATCTTCATTTTTACCTGAAATTCTTCTTTGTGGAACTTTTGCTTTCCATGGCCAATTTCCTGACTTCTTTTTTTATACTTATCTAACTTTACAAGATATGTATTTTTTCATGCAAATGACCATGTGTCTGGAACAAGAATGCAAAATACATGGCAGCTACTGGACACCCTTATTTCCTTTCCATGCCTGTACCCATGTTGTGTATCCTTGGGACCCAGGGCCCTTTCCTACTGAAATTAGGCTGCCTCAAAACCTTCTTCAACACAGTGCTCCAAGGAGGGCAAAGAAATATTTGAATTGAGACTCGGGATGAAAGTCATTTGCTATCCACTGAATGAGTGGTACTTTATTCTTTGGATACAAGACTACACTAAAGCCTCGTGTATCCAGAGGTACTCCTTAGTCTTCAGGAAATCTTGGGTTTCTCTTTCAAGGACATGAGGAATGTTCTTCCAGGAGGTGGTTTCAGAAAATAACTTGTATCTAGTTATGGTCTTAAACCTCCCTGCTCATCCAGAGTTCGAGCAGTCTCCTCAGTGCTGATAATGAGCTGATAATCTTATTTGACTTTCCTGTTTTATAAACAGGAAGGTGTTTCCTTTACAATTGTGAGAAATCTGATAAAATATTCCCATAAAATGCTACTTCATCTGTAACTACTGTAATAATTTCCTATTGTTGCTGTAACAAATGACCACATACACAGTGGGTTAAAACAAGAATGTATTTTCTTACAGTTCAGGAGGTCAGAAATCCTGAAATCAACGTGTTGTCAGGGCTGCACTCCTTCTGAATGTTCCAGGGGAGAAACCATTTCCTTGCCTTTTCTTGCTACTGGAGGCCACCTGCATTTCTTGGTTTGTGGGCCCTTCTTCCATCTTCAAAGCCAGCACTAGGACATCTTCAAATTTCTCTCTGACTCTGACATCCCTGCCTTCCTCTTACAAAGATCCTTGTGATTAGAGTGAGCCCACCTAGATAATCCAAGATAGTCTTTTCTTCTCGAGGTTCTTAATTTAATCGCACCTGTGAAGTTGCGGTTGCCACGTAAGGCAGCATAGTCACAAGTTCCTGGGGTTAGGATGCAGGCATCTTTGGGGAAGCTTTATTCTACCCATGACCCATAGCCAGTCACTTTTAGTCACTTGATTGCTGATTCATCTTCACTGTTTTACACACACATACCCATCGTGCACAGTATTTTCCTGACATATAACTAGGAAAGCTAGATGCAGTTATCCTTTTTGTCTGGAGGAGAAAAATAGAGATTCAAAGAGAAAAAATTAGTTGTCCATGAACATGAAAGTGGAGAGCTGGGATTTGAACCCTGTGAGTCTAACTTGAGGTCTGGAGTTTTCAGTCATATACTGTAAAATCCTCAGCTTTCATTCAAAATAAGGCAGTGATTTCTCAAACTTACATTAGCAGCAAAACCTTATGTTAAATGAAATCTTACCCATGTAACTGATATGTCCCACTTCACCAACAAGGGGTTCAAAACAAGGGCATCTCTCTTTTAATATTCAAATTAAATTACTCCAAGCTCCATCTTGCTGTTATGGAAATGTCTTTCTGTCCTCCTTGGATTCTCCTTTCCATAACAAGCCCAAGAACATTAGAAGTGTGTATTCAGCCCACGACATAACGTGGGGGAAAAAAGCCCGAAATAGTCTAATGTGTTTACCAGGAGCCAGGATGTCCACAGCTGTTACTGCTGCTGTTGCCACAGGGTGTCACTGCTGGAGATGGGAGCGGTGTGTGTCTACTGGAAGAAGCAGGGCAGAGACCTACATGCACACACTGACATCTTTGGCTGGTGGTAGACTCCGAATGTGGGGAGTAAAAGGAAGCCCCTCTTGGACAATGTTAGGCAGACCTATGGTCACCCATGCTTCTGCTCTTACGGTTTACCAAGAAACTGCTCTTTCACAATGGAACTTACTGCCATTTTCCTGAGGGAGACCCTCTCTCATTGTCTGGGGAGCTGGGGCATGAAGGTTTTCCTCTCTTTGAAACAGCTCACATCCGGAACCAGCTTCTCTTAGAACATCAGCATCCTAGCCCACGACTTTGGAGACAGTCCTCTCTTGGTTCCAAGGTCTGTCTCATTTGATGCATCCAAATAAGTGATAATTCTTTAGAGGTTTTAGAATAAGATTAGGCTGGAAGGAACAAAAACCTTAAAACACCAGATAGTGATGGCATGAACAAGGAACAAGTTTCTTTCTTTGTGTTGTTCTATCTCTTTGTTCTACTATGTGGTTTTTATGCTCCTAAAGTCAACTCATAAACCAAGGTGTTCACTAAATCTGAAAGCTGCAGTCATCAAATCCATATTCCAACTAAGAGATAAGGTAAAAGAAAAGAGAATGACTCCTTTTTAAGGATATTTTCTTTACATCCCACTGTCTAGAACTTAGATGGCCAGATGACCTTACCTATCTGCAAGAGAACATGGGAGATGTGACTTGTATTCCAGGTGGCCATATGTTCTGCTACAACTGAAGGATGCTGTTCCTAAGGCAAAAGGTAACAACTAGCAGTCTGTTCTAAGGGAAACACCCTAACTTATTATCCAGTCACCTCGTTTTATAAAACAGACAGGAGCAGATTGCTCTGTTCGAAGCAGAGGTGGTTTTCTAGAGTCCTGCGCACTCAGCTTTCTGCACCTTTGCTGTGGTTTTTGAGCCAATGCTGACAAATAGAGGACTGCAAAGCTCAATTTGAAAACCATGTTACTGAGATGACAGCTCACAACTCAAAGGGTTACTTGCTTCCTGCTTTTGACAAACTCATTTACTTATTTTTCCTGATAAATTTAAGACTTACAGAAAAATAAAAATAACAATATAGCAATGATAGTATACCTACCACTTAGATTTACCCCCATCATACAGGGTCCCAGTATTATTTTAAAGAAATAAAGCATTTCAGATCTAGCTACAATTCCTCTAAAATACCACACAGGCTCATTTTCTACTTTTTCCATTTCTGTGTCCAATTTCTGTCCTCCCCAACCTGTATCATAATATTGGTATTTATCTTTCAAGTTTATTTGAAAAAGTTCAAGTCCATACTTCATTTTGATTTCCTTTATTTTTACCTAATGTGCCTTTTCTGTCCCAGGACCTCATCCAGGCTACCACGTTAGATTTAGCAGTTATATCTCCTTAGGCTCCTCCTGCCTGTAATACTCTCTTATTTCCTTGTTTTTGATGAGCTTGACTGTTACGAGGAGCATTGGCTAAGGTATTTTGCAGACTACCTTGGTTGATTTGTTTGATACTTTCTCATGATTACACTGGGGTTATAGGTTTGGGGGAGGAAGAGCACAGAGGCAAAGTGCCATTTTCTTTACATCATGTCAAGGGTACATACCATCTCCATGATTTATCACTACTGATACTGACCTTAAGCACCTGGATGAGGAAGTGTCTGTCAGATTTCTCTACTGGGAAGTTCCTCTTTTATTCTTCTTTTCATACTGTGCTTTTTTAGAAGAAAGTCACTAATGCACAGCTTACGGCTACACTTCAGAAGCGGGGAATGATGGTTCCCCTCTTGAGGATAGGAACTCTTCTGCATAAGAGATTTATCTCTTCTCCCTCATTTATTTATTTGTCCAGTCATTGATTTATGTCAGTGTGGATTCATGGAAATTTATTCTATACTTTGAGTTACAGTTCAATACTATGTGTGCGTGGGGGGGTTATTTTTGTTAAAATTGTTCCACATTTGGTCATTGGGAGCTCTTTCAGTTGGCAGCTATGGCCCTTTGACATACCTCCAACCTCCAGTTGTCATTTAATTAATTAATTAAAGCACTTCTTTGTTCCCTGGTACTACAGAATCCTCCAGGCTCCTCTTGCACCAGTCCTGGAATCAGCTATTTCTCCAAAGAGCCCTGGTTGCCTCTATTGGAGAATGGTACTAAGAACGAAGATTTGGGCACTAGGCATGCTTGAAATCATATATAATATATATTTATATGTATATAATATATATTATATATAGAATGTATATATTACATATGTATTATCCACTCATGTATACATACATACTTATGTGTGTATATATATATGTGTTAAAAATCATATATATATGATTTTTATTTTAACAGGACTTGGTAGTAAGTAATAAACTAAGAGTAGTAAAACTCTAATTGTGGCTTTTTAGCATTAGTGGAACAAGTGGCAAAATTTTTAGGTTGTAGTCCTTGGGGATACTGCCCTTCCCTGTCACATTGTGAGAGCAGTCACTTACTCATATTGGAACTTAATCTTAACCTGTATTTGAGTCACAAACTCCTTTTGAAATGCTGTTGAAAGGTTAACAGACCTTTTACCCAGGGGAAAAAAAAAACAGATACGGAATTTAGTCTAGGATTTCCAAGGTTCAAGATTTCTCTGAAGTCTGACCTAGGACGTCACTGACCCCTGGTCAGGGGACCTTGGTGCTAGAGGTTGTCCACATGCCCTGTTGATGATCTTCTCTAGCCTCACATCCATTGTGACTTCTCTTCTGGCCAAGGAAATAGTGTCAATTAACAAATAAATCAGAAGAGTCTAATCCGGTAATAGTTTCTCCATCAGCTAATTACAAACATTTATTTTAAGCAGTTCTCTTTTATGTAAAACCATGGTGGAGTTGTTTGGGATTCTCTTTGGGTTTCTAAACCAAGATTTAAAGGGGGAAAAGAAACCCGAAGTTAATTTGCATGGATTCTTTAATTTCTCTGTCTCCTGATTTTGAGTCACTTCCTCTTTGCATTAATGATGCCTATTTAAAACGGGTACAGTGGGAAGGATAACACACTTAGCATAATGTTGTGTCTATGAAAACCGACATAGGTGTAGGACGGAAAGAGTTAATCGAGTTAAATCTCAGTACATTTTTCTGAAGCGGTGTTTAACACTGATTATTTCAAGGTGGTTTTTATAATCACTTCCAAATGTTTTAATGAGGTTGTTTTTTCATTTTTCTCAAGGCTTCTTTAAAAATTTTTTTCCTTTCCATATTGATTTTACAGCTACTTCCCTTAATGCCGCCGTTGGCAGACCCAGTTATGCACTTTTACGGTTTGTTCCGGAAGCTTTCATCCACCTCCCAGCCCCATCTCTCTTCCTGTCTCCTGGGTGCTCTTCATCTGAGCAGAAAGCTCTTCGGGTCTGATTCCTCACGGTTTCCCACGCTGCCCGCCTCCCAGGCCGTGTGCAGTTTTTATTTCAATCTGTCAGTTGTAGTCGTAGCTACCTCCTGTTGTCAGCTTGCTTCTTTAAGATCTTCCTGGAATAGAATCGACCAGATTAGTGATTTTATCTAATTTATTGATTATCTGCATTGATAATCTGTTTAATTCGTGTTTGTGTTCCTTTGGTCTCAG